CGGCGCGGTCCCCCCGCGCGCTCAGTGCGCCGCTCCACGGCCGGCTCCGCTCGCTGCGTGCTCGGGGCCGTGCCAGCCCGGGGCCCGCGTGCAGGGCGCAGGCTGAGCCCGGCAGGGAAGATGGAGCTGGCCACGCGCCCCCAGGTGAGGGTCCCCCCAGCCCGCCCGGGGCCCCCGCTGCTCTCTGCACGCCTAGCGTGCGCTGCCCGCCTCCGGGCGGGTCACTGCCGCGCGGAGGGCCCGGGGCTGAGAACTTCGGTCCTGCGGTGTGCGCGGGGCTCCCCGCGGGCCTCCCGGCTCTGCGGGTCTGGCCCTGCCCGGGCTCAGGTGGGGACGCCGGCCCTGGAGCGGCGGGCCGGGGGCACAGGGGCGCAGCGCTCGGAGACCTGGGGGAGGGGCGGGAGGGCAGCGAGCAGTTCCCTTGCTGGCCGGAACTGGCACCCGCGTCAGGAAGGTGAAGAAAAGAGCAGTTGAGAAAGAAGTCGAGGCTCGCACTGTTGCCGTCTTGGCAGTACTTTAAAAGAGCTGCTGTGGTGTTTGTTCCGGAACTTTGATTAGTTTTCAAGGAATTTCCCACTGGGGGCAAAAGCCAGCGTCTTCAGGCCGAGGTAACAGCAGCTTCGGGACTGCGAGCCTTGCCCACGCAAAGCGCAAACTTAGGCATTTAAGGGCCCGACTAGGTTTTGAAACTTGACTAGCACTTGAGATTGTCTTCCAAAGGGTCGTTAAGAGGCGGGGCCTGTCTCTCTGGTTTACAGTTTCAGGGGTTTTGTCCACTTTAAAATAGCTCTCCGTGAGAACGACAGAAGCCCGCAGACCCCTAAACGGACACACCTTTTCGTGTTGTGGTAAACAGAGCACTTTTAAAACTGAGCAAAGAAAGCCTTTGAAAGGAGAGGGAAGCGGCCATCCCCTTGCGCGTGGGGCCGGGGATGTTTTGCATGGAAGCTGCCTTTCCTCATGCTCTGACTGCACCCCCGACTGGAATTCACCCCTGGTGTCACTGGGCCCGCAGCCGGAGCCGCTCCCTGGCCTTACCAGACCCGGCCTGCCCAGACCTGGCACTTACCTGTGCGCTGGCAAACTAAAGAGCCAGGTGGCTGGCTCCCAGCGGCCGCTTTGCCCGTTTACTAGTGGCCGTAGAGTGTCTTTCTGAAAGTGAACGTTGGGGAGAAAGTGTTTTAAAAGGTTTCTCCAGTGAAGGAGAGAGTAGCAGGAAACAGCGCTGAGCCAGACTCTGCCTTCGGGGTTTCTTTTGTTTGTTTGTGCACGTGGCCTTTGAACGTGTTGGTAGTCTCTGCCTCTGCAGGGCCCAACAGCGCTTTTGGAAGGAGTGGTGCGGCCCCCTGCTCTGTCGCAGATCACAGAGAACTTCCCAGCCCCCTGCCTCCACTTCGGAGTGCTAGGATTCTTCCCTGGGCTTGCCTGCCTAGTTGATGGTGTTCTGGGAATGGACCCCTGGGCCTCCTCCGTACTAGGCAAAGGCTGCAAACTGGACCACAGCCCGGCCGGGTGGCGTTTCCCAAGAAAATGTCACTTCTTATATCATTTCAGAAATGTCGTTTCTTTGCAACTTGGATCCTTGTATTCAAGATCTTTGAAAGTTCAGGATGTCCCAAAGTGTATATCCGGAAGTGAACATTTATTGTTAATAATGAGGCTGATTATTTGACAGTTTGGAAACAGCGGACTATTTACTGTGGTGTTATTCCACAAATTATACCCTGCCCATGATGCATCAATTAGGACAAATTAGTATGTGTAAGAGGATCACTTTTTTTTTTTTTTTTTTTTTTTTTTTTTTTTTTTTTTTTTTTTTTTGCCTTTGGGGAAGACCTCCTAATTGGTAGCACTCATTAAAGTGATGATTTTTTTCTTCTGGAAGTGTCCCTGCCTGTCAACTCATAATAACTTAAAAGTGCGTAGGTTTAAGTCATCTTCGTTGAAGTGGGCTGAGAGCGGTTCTGTGGGTAGGCAGGTGAGTGCAGCGGGCAGCGCGCAGTAATCTCACAGGTGCAGTAAAGATGCCCTCCATCCTTCGGAAAGCACAGCATCCCGAGGTGTCCCTGCAAAGCAGACACAGCTGCAGAGGAGAGAGTTTCGAAACCCCTGAGCCCAAGAGCCACCCACGGACCAGGCTTTGCTGCCAGGCTTTGCTGCCCCCATGGGTTGGGTTTGCTGCCCCTGAAAGTGTTCTGCACCCCTCCCCTAGGAGAGTCTATTGCATAGTCCTATTTTTTTAGATTTTATTTTTAGTCTTTTTGAGGCAGGGTCTCTCTATGTAGTCCTGACTGTCCTGGAATGGTTCCATATTTAAAAGGTCAGTTGCCCCTCCTTTTTGCATAATTCAGCATTTTGGGGCTGAATTCTAAGAAGTCAGGCGGATTTGATTTGATAATCAGAAAACCAAGAGCCAATTCCAGTTAGGCCATTTGTCAGCATTAGAGTGCGTTCTTGAGAAACTCGTGCCGCTGTGTGAGAACAGCCACGCGTGTTCACATCTGTGGTCTCGGGAGTACCCTTTCCTCCGTAACACTTCAGGGGGTTTTGTTCCCAGTGTCCAGATTTACCTTCAGTGGGTACTGACAAGAGTGGTAGGGTTTTTAAATTTCCTTTCTTTTAAATAAAAAAAAAAAACAGTGTGTGGATGTTTAACACCAGATGGAGGAGAGCCGTGCTTCGTCAGTAGCTCAGGTTAGCCCCGGAAAGAGTGTCTCCCTGGTGGTAAGCGCTTGAGAAAGTGAGGGCCATCACAGCTCACTTAGGACTTATGTCGTGGCAGAAATAAACGGTTGATCTGTCCTCATGCTTTTCCGCAGTCAGACCACTCAGCACGTGGTTACCCAGGTGTTGCTACGTTGGAAGATGGAGACCAGAACACTGATTTCCCACCTTCCTCACTCCAGAGGCCGGTGGACCTCTTCCTAGCTCCTGCCTGCCCAGAGGAGCCCTTCCTGGCCGCCAGGAGGTCTTTCTTCCCTCTGGAAATGGAAACTGTCACTTTGTTTTTTGAGTCATTTCATGCTAGGTCCCTAAAGTCAGGAGGTGGTAGACTGTGTGTGGTCTCTCTCCCTTACTCTCTTTCTCTTTCTTTGTTTTTGTTTGATTGAGACAGGGTTTCTCTGTGTAGCCTTGACTGTCCTGGACTCCTTTTGTAGACCAGGCTGGCCTTGAACTCAGAGATCCTCCTGCCTCCGCCTCCAGAGTGCTGGGATCACAGGCGTGCACCATCAGCCAGCTTTATCTCTTTCTACAGATAAGAAAGGCCACTGCTTTGCCTCCGGCCCCTGACAGGATCCCACTGGTGAGACTGTCTGCAGAGCCACCGTCTGGCGCTTGCTGTTGGAGTCAGGATGAAGGTGCAGACAGGAGGCTTCAAGTCTGTTTATGCCGTGGTGTCACCCGGGTTGAGGATAGGCAAATGAGATATGGGTCCGAGGAGTGTCCTAACAATATCACTCCTCAACCAGGCGGCTTGGTGGTGTCAGATCTGACAGGTGTGAGCTCTCATGGGCGTGAGCGCCTCTGATTTTTGGGGTGTGTGTCTGGGGTTCAGGAAGTCTCACTGGATTATCCGGTGTGGAGCAATTTGTGGGCATACACAATCCACATAGCTTTTCCGGGGGAACAATTTCCCGTCGTCTCTGTACGGCGTATGTAATGCAGTGTCAGTGAGGACGCTGAACTCTGCGGCCCCTCACCCAGCACACACATTTGCAGGTGGGCCACAGCGCCGTGGGTGGCTGCCAGGGCTCTGCTGGGTGACCCAGAGGCTGCTTCGTCAGCAGTCATCTTCCGTGTGGCTTTCCTATGAACGGATTTGCCATGGAGTGTGAGCATCTAGATGACAGGTGTAAAAGTTTGCTCCGTACAGACGGTTTCTAAGAGGTTGAAAGTCAGGTACTGTGTGTTTGCCCTGAGTGGGTGCCGTCTGTGCAGCTGCCCCGAGGTGTGTAGAGAACAGAGAACAGTATTCACTTTAGTTTGTGAGTTGCCTCATTAACCTTTAAGAAACAGTCATAGAACCCCCGAGGCCCGGTTGGGCAGCTGGGCCGCCTGGAGCTGCGCCCTGCAGACTGTCAGTTTCCTCCGGGAATGGTTTCCCAGACATCCTCCGAGCCCTCCCGCTGCCTGTCCTGCCCTGCGGCTGGAAGCCTTCCTCCACAGGATGCAGAGCACCTTGCATGCTGGGCTTCTTACCGAAACTGTGAAGCAGTTTCCGCCCCTGCTGGAGACCTCGGCCTCCACAATGAGGCCTCACAGTTGTTTCCAGGGTAGTGACGGGTGAGCCCACAACCCACATCTTGTGGCTGAAGAAAGCTGCCGTCCGTTCCCCACACTGCAGGCTCTTGGCCAGGGAGTGCCTGTGCCCTAGTGACCTTTCCTTGAGCTGAGGGGTTGTAGCATTTTAGCAAGTGCGCCATTCATTCAGGCGCGATGACAAGAGCCTAGTGGAGTCAAGAGCACTCCCAGGCTCATTTTGTGTAGTGGCATTGTTCTTAGGGTGCAAGCAGGTCGTGTCCCTCTGGAATGGCTTTCTGCACCCTGCAGTTTAAAGAGCTGGCCCTTGTTACTGCTTGAGTGAGCGTGGGACAGTCCCCTCCCCCAGCGAGTGTGATTCCTGTAGACTGCATCCGGCAAGTGTGTAGACAGCAGTGGATTTGGGACCAGCTCTTTGCGTATAGGCAGCTTCCCGGTCCCTGTCGCTGGAAGGCACCCTCGCTGGGATTCCATGTCCTGACGCATTAACATGTCTGAAGATGGCCTGTCGCCTGACACTTATGCGAACTTAGGAGAGCAGGGCCTAGAACGGAGGCAGACAAGACCCCTGCATCGGGCAGTTTACACTCAGAGGGTTAAGAAGAGTCCTGAGTAAGATGTTCAGTCACAGGGACGGCGCACACAGGCACATACAGGAACAGCTGAAGTAAACACACTCCTGTGGGCGTGAACACACAGTCCGAGGGCAGGTCTGTGCTTTGAAGAAACCGGGTCGCAGGACTCGTTTTCTTGGCATTGTCTCACACGGGCTCAGAATCCTCCGTTGCAGCATGACCCCTTCTTGACTGCTCTCAGCTCAGTGCCTGGCACACGGCAGATGCGCAGTACAGGTGCTGGCAGTGAGCACTCGCGGTCACCCACAT